CTGGACTTCTTTAATATAGTCAATTTTATTGAGGACAACTACCCCTCCCCCTTTGTCCGCGGGGCGGATCACAAGGTCTTTTTTCTCTAATAATGAGTCAATAGCTTTGCGATTAGCATCATGCTTATTGATTTTCTTTGTTTTTAAAGTCTCTAGGTCACTTAACACTGTATCCCTAAAGGCGTTAATATAGGTGTTATTTTGTGGTGGAGGGTTAAAAAGTGACAGATTATGATGGTTAGAGTTAATGAATCTACCTTGATTATAGGGTATTGGGGGTTTATTGAAAAAATATTTCTTTAGGGATAATTGCCTTACATATTTTCTAATATCAACATATGTTTGAAACTTATTGAGCGGTTTATTAGGTGCAAATTTCAATCCTTTATTTAATAGTTTAATTTCTTGGGTAGTCAGAGTCTTATTGCTAAGGTTAAAAATCCCCAAACCCTTTACATCTTTCTTTACTTGAGGTTTGTTGATCCTCTTGCCTCCCCGCTTGCCTCTTCGGTGGCACCTCTTTTTTGTGCCTTGTTCTCCCCTAAAAAATTAACCTGGGGTTGATTTCTGTTAGGCTGTTCCATATGAGTTTGTTGTGTATATGTCGTTCTATAATCAGGTCTATTAGACTGAGATGCTGGTCCATAATTCGTATTTCTCCACGTAGAGTGGTTAGGATTTCTCATATTGTTTCTAGGTGAAGAATAAGGTCTGTTGTTATATGCCTGTTGGGCCTGGGTAGTTTTAAAATACTGACTACCGTATTTTTCGCTACATAAGACGCACTTTTTTCCCCCAAAAAAAGGGGGGAAAATGTCAGTGCGTCTTATGGAGCGAATATGGAGCGGCCGGTCCGGTATTTCCACTGCCGCCGTGTCAGAATACCGGGCCGGCCGCTCAGCTCTACAGCGGGACCTTATAGAGATGACTGCTGACCTTTGGGGAGGGAGGGGGAGCGGGTACCTGAATTTGACAGGTACCCGCTCCCACTTCCGTGGAGTTGTTCTTTCATCTTACCCGTTCCTCTATCCAGCGGCGCGGTCTTCCCGGCTTCTGTAGTGTGGGCATGACAGCCGGGTGCCAAGTGCGCATGCGCAAGAAGCGGTGCTTTTTGTGAATGGTAAGGCGGCACCTGGGACACATGACAGATCCCAGAAGCCGCCAGACCAATCACAAAGCGCAAGTGCTTGTCGCTCATGCGTACTGGGCACCCGGCTGTCATGCCGAGCGCCATTACAGAAGCCGGGAAGACAGCGCGCGGCTGGATCGAGGAACAGGTAAGATGAAAGAACAACTCCGCGGAAGTGGGAGCGGGTATCTGTCAAATTCAGGTACCCGCTCCCCTCCCTCCCCAAAGGTCAGCAGTCATCTGTACTATCCACAGTCTCTGGTCATCCCTGTACTGTCCGCAGTCTCTGGTCATCCCTGTACTATGTCTGCAGTCTCTGGTCATCCCTGTACTGTGTCCGCAGTCTCTGGTCATCCCTGTACTGTGTCCGCAGTCTCTGGTCATCCCTGTGCTGTCCGCAGTCTCTGGTCATCCCTGTGCTGTCCGCAGTCTCTGGTCATCCCTGTGCTGTCCGCAGTCTCTGGTCATCCCTGTGCTGTCCGCAGTCTCTGGTCATCCCCTGTACTATGTCCGCAGTCTCTGGTCATCCCCTGTACTATGTCCGCAGTCTCTGGTCATCTCCTGTACTATGTCCGCAGTCTCTGGTCATCTCCTGTACTATGTCCGCAGTCTCTGGTCATCTCCTGTACTATGTCTGCAGTCTCTGGTCATCTCCTGTACTATGTCTGCAGTCCATTAGTTCAGAATTTTTTTTCCTGTTTTCTGCCTCTAAAACCTAGGTGCGTCTTATGGTCAGGTGCGTCTTATGGAGCGAAAAATACGGTACTTTTGTTTTGATTGTAATTATAATTATTTTGATAATTATTACGGTATTCAGGTCTTGGGTGCCAATCAAGGTTGCGTGATCCTATGTCATTAGTACCTTCTACCAATAAAGGGGCATAGCCATTCTGAATAGGAATATTGTATTGATAGTCTAATCTGGCTGGTGATTGACCCTGATTATTAAATCTAGGTGATGGGCCCCTTTGTTGCCATGGTGCTTCTCTAGGTTTATTAGTATGATAGGTGTTGTTTGGCTTTGGAGGATTTGTTATGGGAGTTAACTCCTCTTGTTTGCACTGCCATTTAAACACCTGATCATTTTGATAATCCTCGACATCTCTAATATATTTTTTTCTCTTTTTAATTTTTTGTTCCTTTTCTATATTCTCCATATGGATTCGCAACTTGTTGGTCTCAACTTTATATTCCTCACTCTCTTTAAAAGGTGTGAGTTTATCCCGGACCTTGTTTATTTCTTCATCTAAATATTGTAGTTTTTTCTGTTTCCTTACAATCAAAAAACGCAAAAGGTCAAGGCCAACTTTATTAAAGAATTGGTACCAACAGTCGCCTGTTCCATTTATATCCTCAAATTCTGGGGATACTTCCCACCTCAGGGATCTTGGGACCATCCCTTCCTTAATGTACTTCTCTAGGAAGGAGATGTCCCATAAAGCCCTGATTTCGGCTGATGTAAGATTTTGTAAGTGTGTAAACGTACTCATAAGATTATCTGTTGGGTGATCCGTGGTAAATACTTCATCAGAGATTTTACCACGCATTGATCTTATTTCAAATATGTCAGCCATTATAGCAACTCTTAGTAGCCGCTCAAGCTCAATGTTGGTAAGAAACAAAAAGGTGTAACAAAGGTATAGCAAGCGCTACAAGCAGGTTTGTGTAAGCAGCTAGAACACCGAAAAAGGTAACCAAACAACCTTACAATAATCAATAAAAGGAGATCTGACCAGAGCTTTGATGCCAGAGACATTCTGAAGAGTATACCTCTCTACATGCGTATTTTATACGCACTTCTGGTGAGTGCGCACTCTATTCACTCCTAGGATTTTTTCACCCCTCCTACAACCATTGACTTGGGATGTGGACTATGTGTGTGCTTTAACATTTCTTATTGATTAGCGCACTGTTTACCATTGTACCTACTTTCTTGAGCATTTATATTTATATGTATATATACCTTTACAGAGCATTCGTTTTTGCACTCTGATTCAAGCGCTGCACCTATCTTTCTCCTTTTATTGATTATTGTAAGGTTGTTTGGTTACCTTTTTCGGTGTTCTAGCTGCATACACAAACCCTGCTTGTAGCACTCGCTATACCTTTGTTACACCTTGTGGAGAAAGAGTGCCTTGCCTTAGTATGGGCCCTCAAGAAATTGCAGCCCTACCTGTACGGGCGCTTCTTCACCGTACTCACCGATCATAACCCCCTGGTATGGCTAAATCAGGTCTCCGGGGACAATGGTCATCTGCTTCAGTGGAGCTTGGCCCTCCAACCTTATAACTTTACAATCCAGTACCGACCGGGGAAGCAAAACGCCAACGCGGATGGGTTGTCCCGGCAAGCCGAGTTGGAGAAGTAACCCTCTGAACCGACCAGCCCCAAGCGGACCCGTTTGAAGGTCTCGCTGGGTCTGGCGGGTGTTACACAACGGGGGAGCTTTGTGAGGACCTGTCCGTGTGATGACATGTGATTGCCCTTTCTGTTCTGGTTTTATCCCCTTTGTAAAGCTGGACATGTTTCACAGACATTCTACACTGTTTGTTTAGGGAAATGTGACCTTGTAGTCTTTCCCTTCTAATAGAGTTTATACTGTATTGTTAGTTGTGGGGTTTGTTGTGGGTGGGGAAAACCCGGTGCCAGGCTGTCTGGTGGGGGTGGGGTTGAAGCTGTATATACTGAGCTGTGTTTAATAAAAAGACATTCATTATTCACCCTACACGAAGTTCCGACACGTGGTTTTGGGTAGAGTAAAAAGGGAGGGTTTTTAGCTATAATATCTGCCTTGGGAGAGTGCTGGAAGACTTGCTGGAAAAGAGAACCATTGGGTGGGACATATCGCTCCGCACGAGGAAGCCCAGGCGGAACGGTTCCGCCACAGTAGCGCAGACTCATTCACGGTGGGGGGTGGCGGGATCTGGGGGCCCCCTTGTTAAAGGGGGCTTCCAGATTCTGATAAGCCCCCCGCCTGCAGACCCCAACAACCACCGGCCAGGGTTGTGGGGAAGAGGCCCTTGTCCCCATCAACATGGAAACAAGGTGCTTTGGGGGGGAGCCCCCTCTGCCCCAAAGCACCCCCCCATGTTGAGGGCATGTAGCCTGGTATGGTTCAGGAGGGGGGACGCTCGCTCGTCCCCCCCCCCTCCTTTCCTGACCTGCCGGGCTGCGTGCTCGGATAACGGTCTGGTATGGATTTTAGGGGGGACTCCACGCCATTGTTTTTTAAATTTTGGCGTGGAGTTACCCCTTAATACCCATACCAGACCCAAAAGGCTTGGTATGGATGGTAGGGGGGACCCCACGCAGTTTTTTTTTTATTATTTATTAGTAATTACTTCTGTCCCTGCAGAGAGCTCTGCTATTATATTTGACATTAAAAAGTATAGAGATTGCAAGATTGTATCTATTTGTATCCATTTCAGATATAGATGGTTTTATTCGGATACAGATAGATACAATGTTGCAATCTCTATACTTTTTAATGTCAAATATAATAGCGCAGCTCTCTGCAGGGACAGAAGTAATTACTTCGCTATTATATTTGCAGGCCATAGACGGAACGAAAATCGGCCAATTTTTTTTTATCGTTGGTGGTAACGTCTGCCTATTGAACGACCGATTTTTCATTTTTTTTTTTTTTTTTTAAACGACCGGTTTTTGACCCGTCTATGGCCTGCATTAATGTTTCAGCTGTCAGCGGGGTTCCCCACTGACAGCTGAATTTTAAATAAATTTTCGTCAATTAAATAAATATTAAAAAAACTGCATGGGGTCCCCCCTCCCATCCATACCAAGCCCTTCGGGTCTGGTATGGATATTAATACCAGATTAATTAATTAAAAAACAATGGCGTGGAGTCCCCCGTAAAATCCATACCAGACCCTTATCCGAGCATGCAGCCTGGCAGGTCAGGAAAGGGGGGGGACGAGCGAGCGCCCTCCCTTCCTGAACCATACCAGGCCACATGCCCTCAACATGGGGGGGTGCTTTGGGGCAGGTGATCAAGCATGTGATCCCACCCCATGTGACATCAATGATGTCACATGGAGCAGGGTCACTCGGATGATGTCCCCCACCTTGCTTGCCCCTTACCTATTTAAAGAACTGTCACCTTGTCTTCTGCATAAGGCATCTAGCTTCTGTCTAGAGCAAAGCTTTTTTTTTTTTTTTTTTTTCGGGTCGCCGTTATTGACATTGGATCTATTTCGGGGGACATTGTTTTATTAAAGGACTTGTCAAAGACCCTGTACTGTGTTTTTTACACTACACTTTTGCTTTTTTTGTGAATTAGTAGCGGTACCATGTACCGCAGACTCATTCACGTGGGGGGGGGGGCGGGATCTGGGGGCCCCCTTGTTAAAGGGGGCTTCCAGATTCTGATAAGCCCCCCGCCCGCAGACCCCCACAACCACCGGCCAGGGTTGTGGGGAAGAGGCCCTTGTCCCCATCAGCATGGGGACAAGGTGCTTTGAGGGGGGCCCCCCCTGCCCCAAAGCACTCCCCCCCCCATGTTGAGGGCATGTAGCCTGGTATGGTTCAGGAGTGGGGGTGCTCGCTCATCCCCCCGCTTTTCCTGACCTGCCGGGCTGCATGCTCGGATAAGGGTCTGGTATGGATTTTAGGGGAAACCCCACGCAGTTTTTTCTTTAAATTTGGCGTGGGGTTGTCATGGAAATTTTCTATTACAGGTTGTCCTTTAAATGTGTCATATATTAGTGTTATTCATATGTCTCTAGTGTGGCTTAATTAAAGCTCTGAAGGCTGCAATTAGGCCATTCGCATTTACAATGTATATATTACAGTACTCAGCTCAGTAATGGATGAGATGGCAGATCTGCGCTTATAGACTGGCGTGTATGCCACCACGGCATTCAATGCGAATGCCGCCGGCGGTAGGCCGCGGGCCTGTATCCACATAGCAGCATAGTACCACATGGACTTCGTATAGCCAGGCGCCAGGCAGTGCGAACTCCGTGAGTAGGCTCATGTATATCTCTACAAGCCGCTACTGACCTGAACTGTATCTGGATGGATGTGTTTTAATAAAGATCGTATCGGGCCCATTCAGATACAGACTAGCACTGTTTAATCTAGGGGATGCTTGTACAGACAATGTACATACTGCTGGGAGCTGATAGCATGTAAATAATGTGAAACTTGCTCTCCAAAGCGAGCTTATGGGGGAGGACAGAAAAACTGGTTTAACTGGTTCTTAGTATAGGTTAAGAGGGAAATCTGTGCTCCGAGCAGGATGGACATTCTCGTGTATGGACACTCCCTATACATTGCTCTGTGGGAGGGGATTGACTTGGCCCCGTGCGAGGTGTGTTTTGTAAGATAATAAAAACAGGATTCTGGGGTTAGACCCAGGCAGAGTGGATTCCAACTTTAACCTGGGAGTATTGCCTGATTTATTCCTGGATTACTGGAGCTCCATTTCCCCACATCTCAAAAGAGCTAAACCTTTGCACACCGGTTGGAGGTGCAGGAATCGTGGAGCTAAGCTGCAGTCACGGTAAGCGGAGGGGGCGCAATACGGTTGCAGCGAAGTTCGCACAGCTTTATGGGGGATTGCTGTGCATCCAACTGCGGGCACTCACGGTAAGGAAAATTCATTGAAAGCGAATTTCCAAGACAGAGTTACCCCTTAATATCCATGCCAGACCCAAAGGGCTTGTTATGGATGGGAGGGGGGACCATACACAGTTTTTTAAAATATTTATTTAATTGACAGAAATTATTTAAAATTCAGCTGTCAGTGGGGAACATTAACGCAGGCCATAGACGGGTCAAAAACCGGCTGTTTTTAAAAAAAAAAAAAGAAAAATCAGTCATTCAATAGGCCGACGTTACCACCAACGGTAAAAAATAACCAGTCAATTTAAGTGTTATCTATGGCCTGCATTTTTCTTTTTCTTTTTTTTTAATACTTGTTCTTTTTGTTCTTTTTCTTCTTCTTTTTCTTGCAGGTCACAGCTCATGCGCAGATTTTTTTTATTGGTAAAAAGATCGGCCGATTTGCCGATAATTGCCGCGAAAATTGGCCGATCAGCAAAATCGGCCGATTTTTTTTCCAAATTTCCTGATAAACAAAATGTGCCAAAATCCCAAAAAACGGCCAACCAATTATCCCACTAATGGAAGAGGTGATTTTGGGGGGGAGCCCCCCTGCCCCAAAGCACCCCCCCATGTTGAGGGCATGTGGCCTGGTATGGTTCAGGAGGGGGGGCGCTCGCTCGTCCCCCCCCTCCCTTTCCTGATCTGCCAGGCTGCATTCTCGGATAAGGATCTGGTATGGATTTTGGGGAGGACCACATGCAGTTTTTTTTTTTTAATTTCGGCATGGAGTTACCCCTAATATCCATGCCAGTCCCAAAGGGCTTGGTGTGGATGGGACCCCACACTGTTTTTTTTTTTTTACATTTTGGTGTGGAGTTACCCCTTTAGATACATACCAGCCCTGAAGGGCTTGGTGTGGATGGAAGGGGGGACCCCAAGCTGTTTTTTATTTACTATGGTGCTGGTTTTTTCCCTTCACTATAGCTCAGAAATTCACTTGTCACTTCCCCCAGCTAAAAGAAAGTTTTCTTGGAATTTATATCTCTAAAGGAAACAATGTTTACTTTGAGTTTATTAAAAGATACAGTTTATTAAAAGTTTTCTGTAACTTCGGGAAAGTGACTTCTAAGCTTGTGAACTATAGTGAAGAAAAAAAACAAGGCTGGCATTTGCATTTGAAAATCAGAGCCGACATACACTTTGCATTGCAAAAAAAATTATTAACAATTGTGTAAACCGATGCATTATTCTCAATGGATTTTCATTCGTAAACCGAAAATTACGTTAACCGAGGTGGTGGTAAACTGAGGTATGCCTGTATTAGTATTGCAATCCTTTGTATTGAGATACATAGAACCAACATACATCTGAACTGGCAACATAACACAACATTTGTGTCACATTTGAGATATCTGGCTAGTTACACTGACCTTGCCCAGGGACTTAGGGTTGATTCACATCACAGAAATACAGGCAGAATTAGTGTTCAACAGCTCCGTGGATTAGTGGTTAGCACTGCTGCCTCACAACGCTAGGGTTGTTGGTTTGAATCCCAACCACGGCAATGAATTTGCATGATCTCTGTGTGACTACCCTAACATACATGTGCTAGTGGCAGCATCTTTGCTTTCTGTTTAAATGATCTCTAGAATGTGAATTAGCATGAGGCCTTGTCTGTTCAAACACCTTTAAAGTTGCACCTTATGTGAATGTCAAACGAAGGGATGAGATAAGGGCCTGGACTAATGATTGACTGGATAATGCTGGTTTGCACTCCACCTCCTTTTGGGAACGTTTGTCAAACCATGAGAAGAGTGAGCGAGAGAGAAAAAGGATTTAAAAAAAAAAATAATAGCATGGAGTCCCCCCCCCCCCCCAAATCCATAACAGACCCTTATCCGAGCATGCAGATACTGCATGCCTTCAAAGATTTATTTCCTTTGTTGAATTGCCTGCTTGGTTCACACTAGATGCGATTTAAAATTGTGCTATTTGTTGGCAATTTCACCGTGTTTTCTGTAGATTTACCAATGAGTTATTGCGTTTTCAATTGTGTTTTGCATTGCGATTTCTATTGTAGTCTATATGTGAAATCGCTACAAAATGCTGAAAAAGTTAGACAAGAACGACTTTTGAAATTGTGCTGCAGCAAATCGCTTACATTAAGACACATCCACATTCATTAGATCCGATATCAGGTACAATTTCAATTCTGAAATCGTGCACCCTGGATGCAACTTGGCATGCGATTTGCATGACATGCGACTTACAAATCATATGCCAAGTCGCACCCTATTGTCTGCTATTAGAGCAGTCACATGGGTGCGTTTCCGACACTGATTTCTAAAGTAATACATGTACTACTTTTGTGGCGATTTGCATAGATATCTGTGTCAGATGTCTTGCAAATCGCAAGGAAATCAGCATCTTCACTGTATGTTGCACAATTTCTAAATCTGCTTTGATGTGACCGGGGTGTAAGGCCTTTTTATGTGTGATTTCCTGAGTGTTTTTCCGATTTATGGGAAATGCCGCATACTAGCAAAAGTGAATTGACATTTTCAGTATTGCATGCGAGATGTGGTCATGTGACTGCCTTAACTCATGTGATAATCTGGAGTGAATTGTGCCCATATATGAGGTCTCTTATTGGGCACTCTGTGTGAGTGCTATCATTCGCAGTGCCACCTGGAGGACTCAGGACCCTGGTGATGATACCTGGTAGCTGTTTCGGATGACCTTACTTCTGTGGAGCCGGGATGGTGACCTGGGTGCAATCTGATCTGGGATCTGATGATCGTTCTATGGCCTGGTGACGCAGGATTACATATTGCGTATGTTAAATGCACATCTGGTGAGTGCGTTTTTCACCTATTTGTGTGGTTCACACTTATCATCACACCTTGGATCAGGACGTCCACTCACCTGGAATTAGGATCTCTCCATGATCCGCACTATTATATTGAACTTTTGTATTTATGGATCACCATCAGAGTGATATCACGCATGTGCATATATTGTGTGTATAAACTGTGCTCTATTATTTAGCGCTGCACCATTCTATTTGATATATACGTTTGATTGGAGGTTTTTGTTTGGTTACCTTTTCGGTGTATCAGCTGCTCAGTAGTGTTGTTGTGTATACATATTTATACACCTTTTCATCTAAAGTCGCGCTCACTATAACATCTTTTACTACAGAATTGTGCCCATAGGGCCAAGAAATATTGCCAATAGGGTTCCCTTTTACATCCCTGTTTAATGTTCTGTTGTATGCTGCACAGGTACACTTCACTGTGGCTTTCTTTCTGACTCTGATTTGTGGGGCCTGTATACCAAGGGTTAACGCAGGTGGGAAGAGAATTAATCAGGTGCAAATACTTTCTCTGACCAAATGAATGACAGTGGTGGGTGTGGCCTGCCTTATATAAAGAGATGCAGTAGTGGGTGATTTTTTGCCTTGTACAGGCCACATTATTTTCTGCAAGTCCTTCTCTGTGGTGGTTTGGGGAGGAACCAGATAACTAACCAGATAGCGCTATATAAAACGCATGTAGATGATGAGATCATGAGCTGCCAGCTTTCTGAGCTGCCCTCAGTGACTTTCTATCCACGTGGACCTCTTCTGTCTGGCCAACTGGCCTTTTGCATATCATGTGAGTTGTATTTTTACCATTTCTCTGCATTTGAATAAAGCAATGCTGCACTTAGATATTTTTGTTCTTTGGCTCGTTTTTTTTTTTTGCTTGAGCCAATTTTCCCTAAGGAAATCATTGGATATTCTCCTGAGCTCTTTCTCCCTCTGGTGGTCGGTGAACACACTAAACGCCTTGGGATACCTGATCTGAAGAGATCCTGGTTGCTGGCTCCCTCTGGTGGTCTTCAATCAGAGCTCTGCCATTTGGAAATCCTGTTGAAATGCTGCAATTAGAGATGAGCGAATCGAAGTATCCGAAG